GTTTGAAGGCAGCTGCTTGGCCATGGAAACCCCATGAAGCTCTCTACACACTGTTGTGCTAATGTGAAGGCCACATGAAGTTTGGAGGTCTTTAGCTATTGACTCTACAGACAGTTGGCGACTTCTTTGCACTGCGCTTCAGCATGCACTGACCCTGCTCTGTCATTTTATGTGGCCTACCACTTGGTGGCTGAGTTGCTATTGTTCCCAGTTGTTTCCACTTTGTTATAATACCACTAAAGTTGACTGTGGAATATTTTGTAGCAAGGAAATTTCATAGATGCACTTATTGCACAGGTGGCAACATCTCATGGTACCACGCTTCAATTCACTGAGCTCCTGAGACAGACCCATTCTTTCACAAATGTTTGTAGAAGCAGTCTGCATGCCTAGGTGCTAGATTTATATACCTGTGGCCAAGGAGGTGATTGGAACACCTGAAACCAGTGATTTGGAGGGGTGTCCCAATACTTTTGGCAATATAGTGTTCTTCTGGTTCAGAAGTTGAAGTGTAGTTTAATTACTGTATGTAAAGCCAATTTTTTTTGTAGGTGATCAGGTTATTTTTTGCCACCTCTGTGAAGATGATTTGCATCATTCTTTTCCTATAGACATAACAGAATGCAGGAGTACATTTCTTCGAACTATGGGAAATCCCCTTTTAAACAATTGTTGATGGAACAAGTGTTTGCACTGGAAGATTTCTTTTCTAGTCCCGGACTGGTAATAACTCAAAATTTGGGATTTTCCATAATTTTCCAACAGTGGTCACCATAACAAATAGTGATTGTGAGTCTCCCAAGCAAGGATGCAGGTAGCAATAAAGACATGACCCCCTAAAGTCTGGATTTATATACATTTTAAAATGCCAAACAGCTAAAACATACAGATGAAATAAATTTAAGGGAGCTGATTAACCTGCCAAAATATGTGTGCTTCTACCCATACAATTCTGAGATTTATACAACTCTTACAGCTCAGCACTGTCTGACAGAGCAGGATACTTTTCTTTGTTCTCATGTAATACTTATTGGTCTTGTCAGTTACTGAATTGTATAATAAGAAGCAGCAGACTATTGGGCTCCATTTCTATTATCAGCGTGATCCTTTCACTAAAACACTATAATTGGCCCATTTTATTTCCCTCTCCTTAAGCTGGCCATACATGGCTGCATTTTTTGAACAAGAAAACTGAACCAATTCCCCATCCACACAATCAAGCTTGATGGGCGAATCTTCCATGCTGTGTCATTGTATTCTTAAAAAAGAAAAGGAGTCAGTTGGACTTCTCAGTTGTCAGAATACACTGATCAATGCTTCAGCCTATTGGCTACAGCTCTGATCAAATTAAAGTTATTCAACAAGCCCATGCTTGAGCAGATGATCAGTAGATTGACTGCTCTTGACCAGGACTGGCTATAGATGAATCGAAATGTGGCCAATCCCTGCTGAAGTGTCTGAATTTCAATCCATCTATATTTAGCTTTAGTCTAGGCTCTGATCTACAAGGAGTGCAATAGGCTAATACCAAGTCAAGTTCAGGTACTCACACTGCATGCATTTAAAAATACATTTAAGATTGTATTGATGAATACTGAGCTGCATTCATTTCTGTCTTTTCTGAATGCAGCTTTAAGAGGTGAGACGCCTGCTTCAGCTATCTAGTGAATGTGTGCAAGTTTGCAGACGTCATCTGTTTTGCTCAACTAAATTTTAAGTATACTTTAGAATTAAAAACCCAAATAAGTATTTTTAAAAAATTGGATCAATTTTCCTAGCACTGAAAATACATATTTCTATGCCCTATTTTTTTATTTGTATACCCTTTGTATATGTACGGTATGTACCTTATGGAAAACAATTCACATTCCAAGCCTAAAAGCTCCCCATTCCTGTTATCAATTCATTAAGCTAAAACAATCCCCACACCAGTTTTTTATTGGTTATTTTAAAACCTATATTTCTGGAATGGATTTTTGCTGATACATTGTTTACCCATCTGATCTGATTTTATCTGTGGCCTTTGAAAAAAAATGTGCCATTCTGTTATATTAACATCGTGTATGGCAGTTCATTAAAGGCAATGCTTTGTTCACCTTACGTGCTTCACTCTACTGATACTCATTAAAATTCAACAAGCCTGGAATTTTATTATCTTCTAAGTGTTGCTCCTTAAACATAATCTTGTTTTAGTGTGATTTATTTAGTTGATCTGTAGAGTAAGCACAACGGTAAACTCAGGAAAAATTGGTCTTGAATTGGCAGATCAGAGAGTGTTGCTCTAGATTTAACACTGGCTGTCAGTGTACAAGCCCTATTGTACAAATGAACACACAAAATTAAAATGGTAATATTTATATAAGTCAACAATGGTTTTTAATATAAACTTAAGTTGTAGAAATCAGATGAAGGGCAATATAGAACAATTTAAACATAATGCACAATCAAAAAACAATGTCAACCCATACATTGTACAATCCAGAATAATCCTTGAGATTCCAAACACAAAATAGACCATTCAAAGTCTATAAGAAATGTGCTAAATTACTTAACTCTTGACTTGTGTAGTTAGGCTACTCCATCTTGTTACAAGTTTCTCTTCAGAGGCCTCCCTTACTTGCAAAACAAATACAACCTGTCCAATCTTTGTCCCTGTAACTGATTCTCTCTATCGCTTACAGGTGTGACGTGTAGTCATTCTTGTGGTGTGGAATTCCCAAACTTTTGCCACAGACTTAAATTGTAGCCAAGCTGTCCAAATATTATTGAACATATTATATTGGCCCCAAAGCTGATAGGTCTGCTCTTCATTTTCCATTTTCTCATCAATCTTAGTGAACCATTCTCCATGGTTGCCCTATTGGTTCTCCATAAACTTCGGATGAGGCTTTTAGCCATATTCAGGAGGTAAGATGCTAGTTTTAGACTACAGAGGGAAACCAGGGATAATTCCCAAAGAGTGAGCCCTATTATTCATTGGGTACTGACAAACGGTATTACCTGTTGAATTCTATAAACATATACTGAAAAAGCCTTTTATAAAGTAAATTGGCATTTTCAGAATGAAGTCTTACAATGTTTGGACACAGGTGAAAAGATTCTCCTCTGGATAAGAGCTGTGTATAGCCATGCCTCTGCAAGGATTAAGGTAAATCACTTGTTGTCACCCATGTTCCAGATCCAAAATGACAGAAGACAGGGATGTTCCCTGTCCACTCAATCTCTGTATTCCTGCTTTCCAGGTCATCTAATTGTTGGACCAGTTTGAAATTGTATGCTTTGCATTCTGTCTTGAGTTGTAAACCCTGAGATATCAGTTCTCCACAAACAACAACCCTATGGACCTCCCACAAGATCCCTTTAGGCACCTCTTCCATGTCATTTCCTGAAAGTAAGATCATATGGTTAGCCTCACCTGTGCCTCCACCATGTTATCAAGGACATTTTAATTTAGCCTCCAGATCCATTCTCCATGTTTCCTCTCTACAATTAGCAAGAACATTGAGAAAGGTGCATGATCCAAATTAGTAATCAATTGGATGGTCACAAATTGGACATGATCAAACATTTATGATCTGGTAGATGTTGGAATAGTAAGTGAAATCTCTCTCTGAGGCAAGATTACCTCCTGCAATCTAAAAATTGTAACTGTTGGATAGACTTTGTCAGGGCTCCCGGGTGTGACCAGAGGTGTGTGACTGACGCAGGGAAACGCAGACTTCAGATATGTTATAAACAATGTAATTTATTAACACTAACAATACAAACATAAACGCAGTACAATACTAAAACATAACACAGTGCAAACAAACCAAACCAAACCACCCACAGATAACAGTACATACAATGCAAGCGTCGTCAGGCAGGCCGGGTCAATATCAATCGGGCAGGTAGGTACACAGGGGGAGTAAGCGGAGAATGGTCGGGGTCACAAGCCAGGTTCAGCAGGTAGCGGGCAGCGTGGTACAGAGGGTCAGGCAGAGGAGAATGGTCAGACAAGCCAGGGATCAGGAGCAGGAGAATGGTCAGACAAGCCAGGGATCAGAGCAGGGTCAGCAGAGAATCAGACAGGAACAGGAACAGGAAACAGGGCCCAGGAGAAACACAACACCAAGGCAGAGTCTGCAGGTCTGAATGTCCCTTAAATACACCAGTATAATTAGTTCCAGGTGTTTGACTGGCTGCAAGGTTGAGTCTCTGATTGCTGGGAGCACTCGCTGGCCAGCCCTGGTACTGCAGCTCATAAGGCAGGTGAGTCCCACTATTGCTGGCCAGTCCATTCCTGACAGTACCCCCCCCTCAAGGAGCGGCCTCAGGACGCTCCAAACAGTCCTAGCTGGGCAAAATGTTCCACCGCCCGGGTCTGGTAACTGGCGGGATATCAAAGACTGGCACATCGAGCAGGACTCCGGGCAGGGGCACACCGGGCAGAGGCACACCGGGCAGAGGCACATCGGGCTGGACTCCGGGCAGAGGCACATCGGGCTGGACTCCGGGCAGAGGCACATCGGGCCGGACTCCGGGCAGAGGCACATCGGGCCGGACTTGGGCAGAGGCACATCGGGCCGGACTCCGGGCAGAGGCACATCGGGCCGGACTCCGGGCAGAGGCACTCCGGGCAGCGGCACACCGGGCAGAGGCACTCCGGGCAGAGGCACTCCGGGCAGCGGCACACCGGGCAGAGGCACTCCGGGCAGAGGCACATCGGGCTGGACTCCGGGCAGAGGCACATCGGGCTGGACTCCGGGCAGAGGCACATCGGGCTGGACTCCGGGCAGAGGCACATCGGGCTGGACTCCGGGCAGAGGCACATCGGGCTGGACTACGGGCAGAGGCACATCGGGCTGGACTCCGGGCAGAGGCACATCGGGCTGGACTCCGGGCAGAGGCACTCCGGGCAGCGGCACACCGGGCACACCGGGCAGAGGCACTCCGGGCAGAGGCACATCGGGCTGGACTCTGGGCAGAGGCACATCAGGCTGGACTCCGGGCAGAGGCACATCGGGCTGAACTCCGGGCAGAGGCACATCGGGCTGAACTCCGGGCAGAGGCACATCGGGAGATTACCAGGTGAAGCAGCAGGCACCGGGCCCCCAGGCGGGGCGACAGGCATCGGGCCCCCAGGCGGGGCGACAGGCATTGGGCCCCCAAGCGGAGCGGCGGGTGCCGGGCCCCCAGGAGGGGCGACAGACATCGGGCCCCCAGGCAGGGCGGCGGGTGCCGGGCCCCCAGGCGGAGCGACAGGTCTCAGGCCCTCAGGCGGAGCGGCGGGCGCCGGACCCCCAGGTGGAGCGACAAGTCTCGGACCCCCAGGTGGAGCGACAAGTCTCGGGCCCCCAGGCGGAGCGGCGGGCGCCGGACCCCCAGGCGGAGCGACAGGTCTCAGGCTCCCAGGCGGAGCGACAGGTCTCAGGCCCCCAGGCGGAGCGACAGGTCTCAGGCCCCCAGGCGGAGCGACAGGTCTCAGGCCCCCAGGCGGAGCGGCGGGCGCCGGAACCCCAGGCGGAGCGGCGGGCGCCGGACCCCCAGGCGGAGCGACAGGTCTCGGGCCCCCAGGCGGAGCGGCGGGCACCGAGTCACCAGGCACGACAGTGGGCTCCGGGTCAACTGGCAAGACTGCGGGCACCGAGTCAACTGGCAAGACTGCGGGCACCGAGTCACCTGGCAAGACTGCGGGCACCGAGCCAACTGGCGGAACAGCGGGCTTCGAGTCGTCTGGCAAGACTGCGGGCACCGAGTCGTCTGGCAAGACTGCGGGCACCGAGTCTTCTGGCAAGACTGCGGGCACCGAGTCAACTGGCGGGACAGCGGGCACCGAGTCGTCTGGCAAGACTGCGGGCACCGAGTCGTCTGGCAAGACTGCGGGCACCGAGTCGTCTGGCAAGACTGCGAGCACCGAGTCGTCTGGCAAGACTGCGGGCACCGAGTCACCTGTCGGAACAGCGGGCACCGAGTCGTCTGGCAAGACTGCGGGCACCGAGTCGTCTGGCAAGACTGCGGGCACTGAGTCAACTGGCGGGACAGCAGGCACCGAGTCGTCTGGCAAGACTGCGGGCACCGAGTCACCTGTCGGAACAGCGGGCACCGAGTCGTCTGGCAAGACTGCGGGCACCGAGTCGTCTGGCAAGACTGCGGGCACTGAGTCAACTGGCGGGACAGCAGGCACCGAGTCGTCTGGCAAGACTGCGGGCACCGAGTCATCTGGCAAGACTGCGGGCACCGAGTCGTCTGGCGGAACAGCGGGTATCGAGTCAACTGGCGGAACAGCAGCGGGCTTCGAGTCGTCTGGCAAGACTGCGGGCACTGAGTCGTCTGGCAAGACTGCGGGCACCGAGTCACCTGGCGGAACAGTGGGCATTGAGTCAACTGGCGGAACAGCGGGCACCGAGTCGTCTGGCAAGACTGCGGGCACCGAGTCGTCTGGCAAGACTGCGGGCACCGAGTCGTCTGGCAAGACTGCGGGCACCGAGTCACCAGGTACGACAGCGGGCTCTGAGTCAATTGGCACGACAGCGGGCACCGGATCAGGTACCGGATCATCTGGATCAACAGCGGGCATCGAGTCAACTGGCCTAATAGGATCGTCAGGCTGGATCAGTTCATCATGCTGGGTAGAGGCATCAGGCTGAATGCAGGCGTCCGGCTGAGTAGAGGCTTCAAGCTGAGTAGAGGCTTCAGGCCGAGTAGAGGCTTCAGGCCCGAGAGGCTTCAGGCCGAGTAGAGTCAGGCCGAGTAGAGGCATCAGGCCGAGTAGAGGCATCAGGCCGAGTAGAGGATTCAGGCTGAGTAGAGGCTTCAGGCTGAACCACGGAAGGCAGGTTCACCGGTTTGGATACTGGCAGGATGGTATTGGTTGGAAAGAATTTTCGCTTTTTTCTGGTTTTAACTACTGGAGCACTGCAAGTAAACGCAGGTCTGCAAACGAATGGAGCAGTTGGAGACAGAGAAGAACTGGAGGATGGAACAGGGGAGGGAGCAGTTGCTACAGAGGGCTTTTTTACAGGGTTAAAGGCAGGATAGGTGCAGCGAGTGGGAACAGGGTACTGACATGCAGTAGATAGCAGGGCAGGAGGAGCTGTTAGGAATACAGGAGTAGAGCTTTGAGGAAATAGATTAGAAGCAGGACTGGGTTTTTGTAAGCTGACTGAGGCTGGGTGCAACAAATCTGTCCATGTCTGCAGTATGGGTTGAACAAAGCTGAGCTTACACAAAGCCTGTCTGACTAAAGACTGCACTGCCTTTATACAATCTCTTAGTACCTGTAGTGAACATGCAGCATAATGCTCCAAGAAGCAATCCACATCATCCTCTAATAACCATACCAGGGACTCTACCTGGTCGGCACTAAATGGCGGCAAAAATTCATCCCTGCATTCAGGGGTACCAGATGAAACCAACTCCGCACAAACCTGAATCAATGGCTGCACCTCAGAGAATTCTGTGCCCTGATCTACTAGAACATGAGCGAGCCGTATACATTCTAGCAGTTCATCCCGGGGATACTCCTTCAGAGTTTGATAAGCATACTCTTTGTCATCAAACACTAGCAGATATAAATACACAACCTCATCAAGATCCATCTTTCCCATCAACAAACCAAGATGGCTTCCCTGTGCAGCCACTTCTGGTCAGGATTGGCCTTGGTGTAATGTCAGGGCTCCCGGGTGTGACCAGAGGTGTGTGACTGACGCAGGGAAACGCAGACTTCAGATATGTTATAAACAATTTAATTTATTAACACTAACAATACAAACATAAACGCAGTGCAATACTAAAACATAATACAGTGCAAACAAACCAAACCAAACCACCCACAGATAACAGTACATACAATGCAAGCGTCGTCAGGCAGGCCGGGTCAATATCAATCGGGCAGGTAGGTACAGGGGGAGTAAGCGGAGAATGGTCGGGGTCACAAGCCAGGTTCAGCAGTAGCGGGCAGCGTGGTACAGAGGGTCAGGCAGAGGAGAATGGTCAGACAAGCCAGGGATCAGGAGCAGAAGAATGGTCAGACAAGCCAGGGATCAGAGCAGGGTCAGCAGAGAATCAGACAGGAACAGGAACAGGAAACAGGGCCCAGGAGAAACACAACACCAAGGCAGAGTCTGCAGGTCTGAATGTCCCTTAAATACACCAGTATAATTAGTTCCAGGTGTTTGACTGGCTGCAAGGTTGAGTCTCTGATTGCTGGGAGCACCCGCTGGCCAACCCTGGTACTGCAGCTCATAAGGCAGGTGAGTCCCACTATTGCTGGCCAGTCCATTCCTGACAGACTTACTAAGGTGCTTCAAGGCAACACCTGATACAATGATTTCCCAAAGGTGGTGTTTAAAAGTGGATACAAGCATACATAGCCACCACAATCAACTTGCCCTTGGTGAAATCATGTAATATTTGGAGGAATTTATCAAGAAAGGTCAATTGGCATGTGTTAGGAATATAAACAGTGGCAAAAATCACCACATGCTCATACAAAGAGCCTTTGAGTATGAGTAGGAGTATGAGTATGATTCCTTCTTGGTCTAGCAACTGAGATTTTAGTAAGAGCATGAATGGTGGAAGAATATGGCAACACACTTCAATTTCCTAACAGGTGAGTAGCTTACAAAAACAATGATTAAAGATGTGAATAGGAAGTTACAGTAAAATGGGTTTCTTGTTACATTATCCCTTGGGGCTTAACATGCTTGAGTTTAGCCTAGAATCTGCTGCACTTGGTAGGGGAGCAGAAACATTTTACATTATATGTACAAACGCATATTTTAGTCAATATCACAGAAAAAACAGGGAATCTCAGGTGACAGCGACCAAGGACATGAGCAAACAGTGACAATTTACAAAACTTTATTATATTTCTTGTTCAAAGATTTTATTGATTTTTAAACAGGGAGAAAAAGAAGGGACAATGGGGATATACATTTCTTAGACAGAAAATTGCAAAAGTAGGCATCAATGACAACAGAGTCTTTACAAGAAAGGGGGGAGAGGAGGGGGCCGGTGGTTTTGACAAAAAAAAAAAAAGAAACAGTTTTAGGGGATAGAAGATGAGAGAAGACATTGACTTAGGTACATACAAAGTTTTGACATATAGATATGCACGCTCCCCAGTGTAGCATAGGAGAATCATAACATAGGAGTGCAGAGTTATACAGAATGGTCAGGGGGAGAAAATAAGAAAAAGAAAAAGAAAAAAAAGGGGGTTGGGTGGGTTGGGAAGGTCAGAGGTAGAGTGGGGAGGGGTAAGAAGGGGTAGGTGACTCCACAGTTAGTAGCAGTAAATGGAGGAGTATGTGAGAATGATAGGGAGTGGTACCAGAGTAACATGGAATATTCATTATGGGTTGAGAAGTAAAGTAAGTGCTCTACCCAGGGGTTCCAAACTTTCTTGAATTTAGGGATGGTATCTAAAATTGTGGCTTCTACTTTGGTGTGAATAAATAGCCTGGGTAACTTTATTTTTAACTGCTGCAATGCATAGTGAGGGAGATTTCCAAGATTTAGCTATGACCTGCTTGGCTGCCATAGTAACTTGTAGGATAAGTTTGAATTGTGAGTTTATGATGCCAGGGGGGCATAGGTTGAGTAGCGCAGTGGCCAGGTTCAGTTGTAGAGTTTTTGCGCTAAGTTTAGATATTATGCCAAAGAAGACTTGGGCGATTGGGCAGTCCCACCATATGTGGAAATGTGTACGCAGGTCTACACAACCTCTAAAGCAAGTGGAGGGGTAATTAGGGGTATACTTTGCAATTCTTGCTGGGACCAGGTACCAACCAGTCAGGACTTTGTAGTTGGTTTCTAGGGCTACAATATTTTGCGATGACGATTTAGTATTGGACCAGATATGGTCCCAGGCAGAAGGGTCTAGTTGCCGGCCAAGGTCCGTTTTCCATTTGCATATGTATGGGGAGGTGAGGCAGTGGTCGAGGTTGTAAGGAGGGAGTACAAATATGAAATGAGGCCTCGTCTAGGGGGTCTTTGTGACAAGCCTGTTCAAAGGGGGACATGGCGTTCATTTGACTGGTTGCTGTGGTGTATGGAGCGTAGAAATGTTTCAATTGTAGGTATCAAAATATTTCGGAAGCTGGGAGTTCATGGGTTTCGCGTAGTGAGGTAAAGGGTTTAAACTTGTTCCTAAGCATGAAGTGATGGGCCCGGATAAGGTTGACTGAGGTCCAGTGTTTGAATACGTGTGGTGAAGACCAAGCTGGGGGAAAGGCTGGGTTTCGGAGATATGAGAGCAGGGGATTATGTGGCGATTGTAGAAGATAGCGGGATTTCAGTTTATCACAGAGCAGCAAAAAGTGAGAAGTGATGGGGTTTATAACTGAACGGCGGTCAATAGGTCTTAACCATAGAAGGTTAGCAGTAGATAAGGGGTCACACTCTATAGATTCAAGGATAACCCATTGAGGGATTTCGTGGGTAGCATGATATTTTAGTAAATGCGCTGTGTGCCGCTTGGTAGTATTTACTGATATCTGGGAGACCTAGTCTGCCATTAAGTTTGGGGCGATATAGGGTGGAGCGGGGTACACGGGGGGTGGACCTTGCCCCAGACGTAGGAAAAAATGCG